AGGTCTATTACTAAGTGCAGTAGCAATACATCCCAATTGATTTTCCATATTTCTGATTGCAGCTCCTTAACTTTGTAACTGACTTCCCATTTGCAATATCAATTTCCATTGATAACTTTTCTCCTTACTTTACAAATTATTAAATCCTGGGGGTAATAAGGTTTATAGGTTTGATTTCCTTGATTGTTGGAGCTTCCCACTAGGTTCGCAGCATTGTTTCCCCATTGTAGATTTGAAGTATTTAAGTTATTATTACTCTAACTAAATTTTGGATGATTCTTCCATCTAGAATTATAATAATAGGCATAAGGATTATTAGAACGATTATTTATTGCATTTAAAGTCTCATAAGAAGAATGAGATTCTATCATTTGTCCCAATGAGTTCTCCTCAAGCACATGTGTTGTTTGATTCATTCTATATTGATCTATCTTCTTGGACATAACAACTATTTGAGCAGCTAATATAGATATTGCATTAGAATCATGAACATTGGCTACTCTTTTTGGATTTACCATTTCTGAGGGCCATTGAAAATTATTAGTATTCATCTCTTTAATTAATGAATATGCTTCATCAAATGATTTTGACATTAATGATCCACATGCAGCAGTGTCAATTATCGATCTAAGAGATCCAGCCAATCCATTATAAAAAATTTGAATTAATAACCAATCTGGCAACGCATGGTGCTGACACTTCCTAAGTAGATCTTTAAATCTTTCCCAGACTTCATAAATTGATTCCCCTTCAAACTGACAAAAAGATGTAATATCATTTCTAAGCTTGACAGTTTTTGAAGGTGGTAAATATGTAGATAAAAATTTTTGTGATAAATCTACCCAAGTTCTTATAGATCCGGGTGCTAACAAGTTTAAACACATCTTAGTTTTATCCCTCAGTGAAAAAAAGTCTAAGTCTGACAGCATCACTCGACACTCCATTATATTGAAATGTAGCACACAATTCTAGAAAACTAACAATATGTAAATTTGGATCTTCATTTGATGTTCCTCCAAACTGATTGTTTTGTACCATTTGGATAATAGCAGGTTTAAGCTTAAATGAATTGGCAGCTATAGCAGGGGTTTGTTTACTCAAATGAATTTCATCAATTGTAGGATTAGCATAATCCCTTAAAAGTCTCTAATGATGTTCATTTTCATTCCCAGCATTACTTGAGTTGCAAGCCATTTTGCTAGAATGATTTTTCTTTTTTTTTTGTTTTCAAATTTTTCTAACAATTATTTCTAATTCAGAATCGTAAGGTACTAGGTTTTCAGATATTATACTACGCATAAACAAAATAAAAACAAGTAATTAAAAATAAGCAATATACTTAACAAAAAATTAATATACTATATATAACATGCATGATATTAACTATAAGCCTTTTTACCAAATTCAATATATATATATATATATATATATCAAAATAAAATTAACTAATATTTTCCATTACTTCCCTGATAACGGCGCCAAAAACTTGATCGTGCACGGGAATTTGTGTAGCTTAATAATAATGATGCAATGTAACCCAAACTATAATGTAATTTTAATGAAAATAATTTATCTTTAAAAACCTCTTTTAAAATCCCAATTCCTGTTTACATATAACACAAGTATACGCATTGTTCAAGTAACATAGGGCTCTAATGGAGTCCTAGATATTGATCCCATAGGAAAACTGGAAATATATATAAACTAGCTAATTATATTCTATTATAAAATAAAAACAAAAATAAAAACAAAGTAGAGTGCGAAGTTTGAAATTAAACTACTTAAGTGAAATGTTTCTAAATATGCAGATGTACAACTATAGCAAGTAAATTAAACTGGATGCTAAACTTTCAAAAGTAAATTATTGAAATAAAATAAATGCTTTTGTGGACGAAAATTTCAAGTATGAGAAAACATCCTTCCCCTTTACAATGAAAATATGGCTAGTGATGAAATTGAAATCATTTGAAAAATATATTTAAAAATTATTTTGTGCCAAATAGGAGTAATCCTATTCTCTCCCTCTTCCGAGCGCTATAAAGAACATTGACTAATCCAGAATTTGATCCCTAATTCTGTGCTTAGGCTGAGAGGATACTGGTTGTCACTCCAGAACTCCCACTTCTCCCTCTCCTGAGGGCTAACATACTCGCATTAGTTTCCAATCAACTAAACCAAATTGGGTATTCTAATTTGTCACTTTAAAATCTTCCAATTCTATATACAACAAAGTACATTTCTCTATTTATTTGCACCCAATCCATTGGATGAAATGCTGTCCCATGAAATCAAATGTGATTCTCCCTTAGTTGTAGAAATCATATCCCCTTTTCAGAACATATAATTCTCAACACATTTTAACAATTCAATTGGCTAGATCGAAAAGTAAATGAAGATCGGAGTTCAAATCATCACAAAGTATTAACATTTAAAACTGTAGAAAACAAAATCAATTCTTCACAAAATCATTTCTTCAAAGCAGGGAGAAAGATAAAGAAGACTACTCAAAATTCATGAGAAGGGTATGATAAAACACAGATTTCATATATAAAAATAAGTTTACAAACAAAAAAAATGAAAAGTACAGCTTAATTCACAATCCTTCCTAAGCAAATCCTTAGAAGTTCTCTCCAAGCCTTTCCCGCTTTACAATCTCTCCCAAATCTCTCTTAGAAATGTAATGAAGAAGAAATCTCTCACCTTCCCTCTCCTCTTACAACCCTAAAAGAAAGTCGCCTCCTTATTCTCTCTCTAACTCATGTCTATCCTCTCTCTCTAACTTTTGTGTCCCCCCTCACGTCCCTTCAGAAGTTCCCTTTTGTTGGCTGCCTCTTCTCTTCGAAAAGAGTCTCAATTCCCTCCAAAATTCAAAAGTCAAAACTCTGAATTTCAAAAGATGTGCCTCCTTGATCTAAAAGTCAAATCCCTTCAAATTGGAACATTCCAAAGTGTCTACACGCATTGAATCACTCCATGAGGTGCTTAGAGCAAGTGTTCCTTTGAAAATTCGCACAAAATTCGTGTCGAACCGCCTTAATTTGAAAATTTCGCGATTGGCGCATCATGCGCCAACGCTCTGGATTTCGGCGCATCATGCGCCAGTTTTGCGTACCATGCGCCAAACCCCAAAATTGACAGTTTTTACTCTAAATTTCGCTCTTTTTGTCATTTTTGCTCCAAATGCCTAAAAAATGTATACCTGCAAAAAAAACACAAAAAGACCTTTTTTTTAAAGTGCAATATCACCAAAAATATATATAAAATGGGCACTTAAACCAGTATATTATTTTTGTGAATCATATATCTTTTTTTGGTACTCTAACGAAGTGTTTTTTTTTTAATTTTCAACTGTAAAATGAGTAATCGTTATAGTTCTGTTCCAAACAGAAAGAACTATAAATCAATTGTTTTCCAAACACACAAACCAAATTGCTACACAACAGAATGGTCATTTATCCAAAAACAACTATGAATTTGTTGTTTTCCAAACGCACAAACCAAACAGCCAATCAATTTATGAGGATAAGCTGCTGATCAGCAGCTTATAAGGATATGCTGCTTATCTAGATAAGCTGCATCTTCCCCAAACAGACCCTAAATCGTGCCCTGTATAAGTGGATGAATGAAGCTCACATGTCAAAGTAGATGAACCTTATCTCACTCGAGGAGGTGACCTAGCCAGCATAAGGATAGATATTTATTAGGGAATGTGATTATTACTATCAAGGAAACATATCTATCCTCCTTTAAAGGCATCCGAGTTTGTCAAAAAAACTCGTTGTTCTCGAAGAGCTTGTGTTTGACTCTTCAAATGACTCGTGTTTGACTCATTTGTTAAGAAAATGAGCTGAGCACAAACAGTCTTTTTGAGCTCGATTTATAAGCGAGTCGAACACTAACAATTGTTTGTTTGTTCGTGTTGGGGTCGTTTCAACTGAAAATAATTAAAAAAAAATTTTATTTATCTTTTTATATTAATTATATATATATATATATATATATATGTATGTATGTATGTTTGTATGTAATTTTTCCTAAATAAAATTA